TTGCTCTGAGATACTGATTGTTCTGAAATTCTGAAGCTTCCTGCTCTGATAGGCATTCACGGTCATGAATAAATGCTCTTGCAAGCATTCGTCCAGCCAGTCAAGGTCCTCAGCCATTTATTCATGTCTGAAGGACCGCAACACGACCCTTGAGCTGTCCCCGAATTGTGCATGTGTGCAAGCAATGGGAGAGCGGAAATTCTGGCCAGCAACTGACTGGCAGCAGCAGCAGCAGCTAAGAAGCAGCTCATCCGAAAACTCCACCATAATGGTGCCTTCATTGCGTGCCAAATTGACTTTGCGTGTGCTCCACGACTACTGGCAAAGCTCGTCATCCCGTCATTTTGTCCTTTTTTTATTCCCCCTCTCTGCCCTTGCCTACACCAAAATATATGAACATGCTACAGTAGTCTATGAAACCAAGGAACAATATGAACTCATTCTTCAGACTGAGGGGACTCGGGCTGTGGAAATAAAATCAAAAGCAAAGAAGTTTGTCTTGATTGAATTGCCTTTCAAACTCCCATCGCATGAACTTGATTAAGATTTTTCAGAGTTATTGATTTACTTTTCGGGTGACATGTAAGTGTTAACCCTCGTGGGCTCACAAAACCTTCTTTTTCTCGATTTGGGGGCTTTCTAAAACTCCTTGATTTAGGGCTCGATATTCACACTACGGAAAAGTCGGACCAAAGAGAAGAAGGTCATGAAGTCGAGCGGTTGGTTTTTCTTCAATCGTCATAATTACAGTTTTTTTTTTTACTTAACTGAACTCGATTTTACCTTTTAAAAATCCACTCGCCTTTTTTACAATACTTTTACAAATTCGAACAATTTAGGTAATTTTTTTTCTTTCTTTCTTATGAAGCGTAAAGGTTTGAGGTGTCTGAGCTGAGGGTGATAGAAGGAGACCTTCAGACTTTCCAAACCTTTCAGCAATTCGGACATGCTGCCCCTTCGTGAAGTTCGTCTACGAGCATGTAGACGCCGAGATAAAAACTAACTGCTCTGTTGCCTACCACTAGGATTAGAAGACAACCAAGTAATTCTACGAACTTGTAGAACTTGCCGCACGAAATAGGGACTAGCAATTACATCTCTTTCATGAATCTGAAGTTTTCATTGGCTCATGTCCTGGCTGGCTCAAGATAAATCCAACGTTAAAGCCTTCTTGCGCTTTCTCCTCTTGTTCTTTGGAAGAATACCTCGAACTGACAAGGATAGCGACTTACGGCCCCTGGGCGAACTTCGATCTCAGTCAGGACTCGAATCCATACTTATTTTTCGGGCGAGAATTCGGTAATGTAACAAGTAAAGAACCTAGAGCTCGGGAAGAACAAATATGAATCCTCTTCCGATGTAGGAGTTTCGCCCACATCCCGTCATCTTTGCGATTGTTTCGCATCGCGTATTGTGACCAACTAAAAGCAATTAACAAAAGCACCAAATCGAAACTTTGAAGGGCTACTTTTGGGAGACTTGAAATCTAAGAACTGTAGGAGACAGTAGTATACCATGGAGGTGAAAGAGGGAGCGAATGAACCTACTACTTTCGCGCTATTCTTCCTTTGTTCCCCTTCACTCTATGGATGTTCGACATTCTTTCTGCCAAGTACACCTCTATCTATGGGCAGTGGGTGGAGGCTATAGAGAGAGTTAGTCGTCCCGGTAGGCTCTACGGCTTAATTATCGTCAAACCGGCCATTGTGCTGTTAATTGCATCCAATACTCATTTCATCACCATTGCTCCCTCTCTTTGTCCGACTCCAATCGGAAGAGCTGTCCAAAACAAAAGTCGTCCTAGTCGGAACAGCGCTCTTTATCGCTTTGCAGACTTGAATTGTAAATTTACCAGACCCCCATTCAACGCCTTTTCCTTCTTTCCACCCCACTGAGCTTCAGAGATGTAATCGTTTGTGTTTTGGGCTTTTGTCCACTTGAATGGTCATTACTTTACATTCCTGGGGTAAAGCAAACGGATGTTATTCCCGTCCTCCAGCCTTTTTCAGGTAGCCACCCACAACAATCTATAAAGACCCTAAAAAGTCTCTGGAGTACTCTTTTTGTAAAATGATTGGTACTGCCATTGTTCGAGGGAATTTTCTTGCCCTTGGACGGGGTACGAAGCTGGTTATCCACCTCTAGTGGAGCGGGAAGCCCGTCTACCCCGGCAGTTCAATCATTTCAGTCTCATAGACCCCTACCTTTTCGAATTGGTGGCATTTCCGAGGAAGGTATATGCCTATCGTCTTTTTTCGCTTCTTCCATCGCAGCCATTTTACATTTCTTTTTTCCAGTAGTCATTAAGTCCTTTCTCTGATTCTGACGGTAGCCTGATGACCTGGAATTAAATTTCATTTCCTGTAATTCGTGGCCTTTTCCACATTTCAATTGAAAATGCTACCTCATGGAGTTCAGGAATAAGTTCAGGAATAAGTTAATCATGGCTACGGTCGAGTAGGTGAACGTCATCAGAGTATCCTCATTGTAGTTCTCACTATTGCATGAATGGCTATAAATGGCTGCGGAATTAATCAAGACATTTCCTATGGAAATTCAATTTTTACTATCCAACTGTTATTCAGAGCCCAGCTCTACCTTATATATCGGGTAGGCAGGGCACTAAATATTCCTGCATCTTTGATAGGGGCACTTGTCTGGAGCTGGAACAAGTAACTATTAATGGCCCTTTTAGTCAGTTCACCGTCTGGTGACTTTGATTAATGAACCCGATGCTAAAACGTAGATTTCACCCGCTCGATACATGGAGAGAATTCTATTTTCAACCTCATTCGGGTGCACCTGCTACCCCCAATGTTCCTTGTTCTTCTTGAAATTCAACGCTGATCAGTCCAAAGCATCCATCGGTCCCTTGGAAACTTTGACTTAAAACCAAGCGTAAAGCTTACTTAGATGAACGTCCTCCACAGAACTGGCACCATTGTCTTCCTCGAATAGAATTCCGACTCTTGCTTCCACGTAGAAAGGTTACTGATGAGCAGATGTCAAAAGCGACGGCGTAGGGAGTGCCACAGGAAATTGAATCCTTGGAACCGAATAAACCACCCTTCCATACTATCCAAGTGAAATTGATCTATGTTTTGCATGTAGAACGCTGTGGGTGGTCGTAGTAAATAGACCAGTGTTATTGCAGTTGATCGAACCAACTTCCGCATTTCCAGTAATGAACCCACCAAAGCTAATGAAATTTCTAAAACTCGTAGTTGTATGATGGTGTCGTTGTCTTCCATCGTCTCCCTCTCATATCTGCGGCCATTTTTTCTTCTTCATCCACGAGTAGACTGAAAAGATGAAGTCTCCTCGAGCCATTCTGTTTTTTGGGATGCGCCGTGCATTAGAATTCCATTCAAAATCGAGTGGTACTTTGAATGCATATATGGCCTAAACTACGAATTGCGGTGACCACCCAATATACAAGTCAAAGCTTTTATCCTCTCGGACAGGTCTGACACCAACTGATCAAGAGTTGGGGATTGGATTGTTTGGCGTGGGCGAGTATTCATCCAGGATTCAATCCCGGGCAATGCGATTGACCGATTCGTTTTGGATGCTGAACCTTTCCGATAAGTTTCTGAATGAAGCGCGTGATAGTACATAGCAATCCCAAGTATTTCCGAGCTAAATGCCCAAATGTTCCTTTTTCCAAAAGATGTCAATGGAGAGTTTTGCCAATCAACCAACCCAGAGCGAAATTTCCCTGTCGTAAGCAGTATCGTCGTAACTTCTTAGTTATTCTAGAGGAGGGTAATTTCCAGGTACCTCCACTAACGAACAAGTGCATCGTGCAAAAAAGTCAAAGAAGCATTTTTTTTCACCGATTGCGTATGCCCTTTGCAGAATAGTATAGTGGGGCATGTTGCTGAATGCAGGCTTCAGAGCTGCCGTCAGGCGCCGGTTTCTTTTGATGCCTCCTGATCTTTCTGGAGCTTGTTCTGATGATACTCCAACGATTTCATCTTGTTTTCTGTTGGCCTTCGGAGTCACTGGATTTCCTATCGAGCGTTAGGTAGCACTCCATTTCAAGGTGCTACAACATTTACATTTGAGGGCGTTTAACTGAAAGTTCGTTTCATTAATTTCTTCCACTGGCACAATCATAACCGAGTAATTCCCGTTTTTTCCTAGTGGTCGTTACTATTTTTTCGAAGAAATAGTGTCATAGTGCCATCCAAGGCGAAGTTTTTCACCCTCAACAAGCAACCCAGCAGATATTTTCTCTACGTTTTCCGAATCAGTCGATTATATCGGCAGATAGACGGAAGGAGTGGTGCAGTGGTGAACAAACGCACTATCACACACGCATGGTCTAGAATCGGTCAATTGGTATCATACTCGTCTGGGAGTATAAAAGAACTGGCCTGTACATCGGATGGCCACCGCAATTCATGGACCACAAATGTAATAAATACGTCACCACGATTCTGAGAGGGAGATGAGTGCTGAACGTATCCTAAAAAAGGATTACTCAACGCTCATCTTAACCCTTCCTTTTACCTTCTTTCTTCCTAATCGAACCTGCCCCGCGGCATTTGTGCCCGCACCTTTTTGAGTCAAGAGTAGCATCTCATTGAAAAGTTCCAGGTGGATTATTGGCGCACTCAGTTGAGTGTATAAATAAATAAATAGATAGATAAATAAATAAATAAATAAATAAATAAATAAATAAATAAATAAATAAATAAATAAATAAATAAATAAATNCTCCTTTTTTCATAACTGACTCACCATCCTGGCTATAATATTGCACTCTCACAACGAGCTTTGATGGTTAGCAACTAGACATATAGCTCGAGCTAGATATAAATTGTCTAATCAATATCTACTTTATTTTACCTTTGACCAATGAAATGAAATTGATCAATAGTTACGAGTTACGTTCGGTGATCCACTCACTAGCCATGACTTGACGATCTCTTTTACTGACATTTTGTAGGCCGAAGAAAGCTTGATTCACAATCATTTTTCAGCGACCATGTCAAATGGCCTCAAATCCTCAGATCCGCTTACACAGTCATGGCACAGTCAAGCCAACGGGAATAATACTACCAGAACCATACTCAGTTTCTTACGGTCAGTTCATCCCCTGTCTGTCTGCCCGGTAGGGTTCCTTTTCATTAGGATTCCTTTTCATGTCATCAATGCTCTTTCTTTATTCAAAGTGTTAACTTATTAATAATTTGTTTGCACTTTTTCCCTTTTGCATTTCCTGGTTACTTGTTAAATACATCTAAGGTCTTACTGTTATCTTGAGCCTGATGAAAAACCAAGACTGCCGATCTCAGTGGCGGTCGATGTACCCCTAAATTCGAGAGTTTTTCAGGTCGTCACGATCGAAATCTAACAGTAACAAGGAGCCAGTGGTCGTATCGAGGCCGATTCCTTCATGTCCCAACTCTAGTACGGTGGCGGATTTCTCACATCTTCGACGGCGAAGACCGCGTAGCGCCCACTACGACCCAAACACAATCACCCTGACGGAGAAGCAGGTGAACTCCGTCGGCTAACCTTAATCGTTGGAGTGGGTTCACTCGAGTTCCGATCTTTTAAAGTGGTCTAACAGTGGGAAAACCAGTCAGCTTGGTCGACCTGTGGCAAGGACTAAGCGAGTAACAGAACTCTTTCAATCATTACTCAGTATTCGTAGTTCCAGGACATTCCTGAGCAAGACGTCAATGAGACCTATGAACGCCTTGAAAAACTTGGCGAAGGCAGTTATGCTACTGTATATAAATGTAAATCGAAGTAAGTCAGTCGAAGAAATCCAGAAAGTCGAGCGAGTTCATAGAAAAAATTCTTTCAAGGATTGACGGAACAATAGTGGCGTTGAAAGAAATCAAACTGCAATTCCAAGAAGGCCTCCCATTTACTGCTATTAGAGAGGGTGAGACATCTGCCAGTAATTGAAAATATAAGTATTGTTCGATTTTCTGATTTCCTTTCAGCTTCGTTACTTCGCACATTACGTCATGCTAACATCGTGTGCCTTCATGATATTTATCATCAACATAATCAATTAACATTTGTCTTTGAATATATGGTGAGCAAACTTCGCCCATTTGGGATGCTCCGCCCATTGCGCGCAATCAATTCCTCGACTTTTCAGAAAATGGATCTCAGCAAATACCTCGAACATCATCCGACCGGTGTTGACTGTATGCAAATCAGGCTGTTTCTGTTCCAACTACTTAGAGGACTGGACTTCTGTCACAAGAAGAAGATCCTGCACAGGTATGTCTGAATGGGTTTTCCTTCGGAACAGCACCTCTCTGGCTTCCCTGGTTCTCACCGATTATCTATTTTAGAGATCTGAAGCCTCAAAACTTACTGCTCGATGACAATGGTGTTTTGAAGTTGGCTGATTTCGGGTTAGCTCGAGCCAAATCCGTCCCGAGTAGGACGTATTCCCACGAAGTCGTTACCCTGTGGTATCGACCGCCAGATGTACTCCTCGGTAGTACCGAGTACTCAACATCATTAGATATGTGGTGAGTACTGGTGATATTCAAATGTAGAAGAGCCAGGGAAGTGTTTCAGACAAAAACCCTTTTTCTTCAGGGGGGTTGGGTGTATTTTCGCGGAACTTTGCACGGGTCAAGCGATTTTCCCCGGTACTAAAGATGTGATGGACCAACTGGACAAGATATTCAGTGTTCGAGGTGTGCCGAACGAAACAACTTGGCCTCAGGTAGGCATTCTTGTTGGTTGAAGCAACCACAGTATACAGACCATACCTATTACTGTTATGAATAATATTAAAAATAACTAATATGTGATTTCGACTGCTCCCATTGCGGATGAGAAGCTGTTTTTTAAAAGTGGAGTTTTTTTTCGACTTATTAAGGTTTCGTTGAATTTTTTGGATAAACACTTGTTTTTGAAGTATGAATGCTCCTTAGAAGAATCTTTCTTGCACTGACTTTCACTGTGGATTCAATATTACTGCTTTCTCATGTCAGGTAAAGAACCTACCTCATTACGCGCCAAATGCTTTCCCGTCGTACAAAGAGATTCCGTTCAAGCAAGTGAACATTCTGCTGACGAAACTGCAGAAATCTGGAACGGATTTGCTCGGGATGTTGTTGCAGGTGGATACTTTAGCTACTGTAATTGTACGGATTTGACATTACAGAAATGTCTTTATTCATAAGTACTAAAGTAAACCACCAGAAACCTTTCGAGGAAGTTATCTGTAATCCCTTGTTGTTTTACGATAATACAAACGAACATATAAACTGGTCTTGTATGTCATAGGCTGCCTATTGTCACTTACCCATTGCCCATTAGGGATTCCGCATCTTGGTGAAGGGCTGAGCTCTGTGCCGAGGAGTTCGAAAGAAATCGCTGGCAGGGGAATGTAGCCGAAACAGTTAGACTTGTCATGATTTTCCTTCATTTTTGTGGGTCCATATAACCAACGACGAAATTTTCCGACTCTCAGTTCCACCCAGTTTAATCTACCCAGTTTCTGAGAGTATACGATGCTCACAAGGATCACGATAAAAAAACGATTTTTAGCAGCTGGGAACCGAAAATCCTGGAGAAATTCAGTTAGGTCGTACATGTGAAAAAGGAAGTATCAGAAACTGACTGAAACGCTCCAAACCCACGCTTTCAGATGTTTGGCTTTTTTCTTTGTGCTTGGTGCTTGGCCTTTGTAGAGTCTCAATTCAACCAAACTCAACTTGCTAATTTTATGCTTATCCCTTCAATTCATCCCATCCTTTCACTGCTCAGTAGGTACACATGTGAAATTTCTAATATATTCTCCTATTCAATTCGCATTCAGAGGAACTAGTGTTTCTCGCGTCGAAACTAATTTTTACTGTGAAATCTGATTTCAGTTGAACCCCAGCGAACGCATATCAGCCAGCTGTGCCATGCTTCATCCATATTTTGCGGGTCTACCTCGAAATATTCACATCTTGCCACCTACGTTGTCCATTTTCACACTTCCCGAACTGCAGCAATGGATGCGATGACGTCGACATACTAGTTTAGATGACGAGGACAATTTTACAAAAGTTCGCCCCGCGAGTGAGTGACAGTTGTCTCGGGCGGACGAGTCCTCCACGAATCTCCCTCTCATCGATTATCACTAACGATCCACCGGTGTACATATGCTTTCCTTCTGGCTCATTCATCTCTCTCCAGGCAATTTTAGTGATGAGATGATGATTCGATCGATAGCTTATTTTCTTTCTCTTTCCTAACCTCTCATCTCTACTATATCATGAAATTTTACCAGAAATTTGGCGACTTTACCTTTTGTAAGTATCGATTTCTGTAACAGTTTTTCTTGCCCTCTGGCCATGTTTTCGACAAGTAGGTCTGTAAACATTTTTGGCTGGATTTTTGCCATCTGGCGTCTGAGCAGGCGACGTGAAGGTGAACGCTATTACTACTCGAGTATTTTTCATTTTTTTTCTATAATTTCTCTTCACCAGTCGATTATACGGGTGTATCTTGCTTTTCAATGTGTGCAAACTTTTATATTTATGAATGAATTAGATGCAAATTCAAATAAAAACGTTTTATTTCATGTTGCTATGCGTTGATTTTAGGTATCCCCTTGAAAAATCGCAATCGATAATTTTAATATTTGATGAACTTCAAAATCGACGCTCCAGGAAGGATTTCAAGTGTTGCAAGTGGAAAATCCCATACAGAGAGGCTTTCGGCATTTGATTTTTTGTTAGGTACATAAAGGCATCTACAGATCACGAAGAGATGTACAGTATCCAATACCGTATTGTAAAACCCATCTCAGCGGAGACAGTGACCCGGGTGACGACTGAAAAGCCTGAGCATGTTCGAAACCTCATGTTAAGGAAGTGATGGTATGGTATCGTTTTCAACCCCATAACAGGGTCAACTTCTTCGAATCAGGAGTTCTCCCATTCATCTCCCAGATGCTCTGAAATAACAATACATACTGAGTTGTGTCGATAGAAAAATCACATAATTTTTCCAAAGTTAATTTAAATGAGACCGAGAACCACTCAGAATAAAGGGTTGTCACGAGGAAAGCCATTTACCTTGGAAACCTACAAAATTGTGGTTGGGAACTATTTTTCCAACTATTCAGAACAAAAAAGCAAGATTTGGGGTTTCTATTGATTCATCTAATGTCAGGACTCGACATCGTATCGTGAATCGTAAAAATGTCACATTTGAAAATCATCGAAGAAAGTTTGCAACACATGGGCCAACATTAGCATGAATGAAGAGGGCTTCGTGCCATTTATTTTTGGGTTTTGGCACACCTGATCCATGTGCTCGCGGACTTCTCAACATTCCTATATGACAAAAACTTTCGATGCAAGAATATTTTTCTGACATTCTTCCAGCAGATCTTCTTGGGGACTCAGAAAGGAATGCCAATACGTCAATCGACAAGTTTCCGACAACGGAGCATGTCGATGCTCCAAACTAGTATTTTCCTAAGAAACTGAAGTATCACCTTTATCAATGAAATAAAAAAGAATCATGGCACGACTCCAAAATTCTTGCCATTTCATCTAAGATCCAGATCCATCCAAAATTTCAAGATTCCCTGTTCCATAAGTTGTGTGAGAGATTGCTGCACAGCGAGTTCTTTCACTAAACAAGTATGTACCAACGACTGAAAGCAGATTTCGACTATAAAGAGACAGATTCAACTCAATGGCAAATCTTTGATAAGCGATGAAGCAGGTAGGTACTGTTTTGCCTGATATCAACTTCAGACCTCGACGAGTCGACGTCGACGAGTTCAAATGCTGAGTTCTAGACATTGCTTTGTCCTCAATCTAAATCGAAAATGCTGGCCTGACACTTGTGAATCAGCAAAACTTCGAAGTTCATCCAGAGGAAAAATACTCTATGAATCACGCTCAGCAACATCGGTAGCGACCGCTCAATCCTCGGCAACACCAGCTGATCATTATCGGTACCGGTTCTTGGTGGTACTGAAACTCGAAATGGGAGTTGCTTAGTTAATAGATTCTTTGAACAGTTTCACTGGCACAGTAGTTTGCTACAGTTACTTAGCATTTGCCCCTCGACACCTCGATAAGCATTGCTGTTCACCTTCTTTTACCAAGAGGATTACAGGAAGACGCATAATGCCAGAACCTGCTTTTTCACCTAGCTCATTCAGGATTTGTGAAGGTGCAATCGCAGTCAACCAACATGTGATTTACCTTTGATCCATTTCACTGCACTCCAGGTTGTCTAGTGCTTCAGTTAGGGTTAGAGTTCTAACCAAGAGGGCGAATTTGCAGAAAAAAAGGTAATTTCCAAGCTAATCACATCCTAAAGGACCTTTCTATATTAAAGGAGCCCTCTACGTTCATCTTAACACAGAGCATCCTCTGCTTTGATTTATGGAAACATTTTCAGGAAGCGGAAATCTTTAACATTTATATGCCTAAACAGGATATTCTCCACCTTAATCTTGTGGTATTTTTTATATTCCAGATAAAGGGAAAGGATTGAGCTTTTAGCCTTAAAGGCACAATTCGCGTGAAAATGGTTTCTGAGATTCCCCCACAGGGAAAATTTGAGGCTCCCGCGCCTACCATATCTGGCACTATTAGGTCGGAAAACCGACTAGTTAGAGAGCTGTAAAGGCATAAAGATTGGCCCGTGTGTATCCTCGGACGAGTTTCACCTGCATTGTAGAGGATGCAGCGATCACAAGAGAACTCATGTAGGAATTTCAAACAACTCGTCATGGCTCACAGCAACTGCGGAAGACAGTTCTGTGCAGTCATCGCTTGATCTAGTCAGCTCTTTGAGCAACTGCAATAAATGAAATCTCGTCCGAATGCCCATTCCGCGTTATATCCGTCATGGCAAACTGGTCCAACCTCTATTTCGCCTTTTTTTGAGAAGCCATATTGTTCTCGAAATAGGCGAATACTCGCAAACTCGTCCAACCTCTAGTTCCCCTACTTTTGAGAAGCCATATTTTTCTCGAAATGGGCGAATACTCTCGCTTTCTTCACTACCGATGGACTATTCCCAATTTATACTTCCGCTTTCCGGATAAAAACAGGTACCTCAAAACTATCGTGATCTGTGCCTTTAAACAATCCAGATTTGGTATGCACCCATGCATTCAACTTCCATTCAAGATCCTAGAGGCTTTTAAATGCGCATTGGGTATACGTATACAATGACTTGGGAAGGCTTGGTATAGGCTCCATAACAAACCGGGATTCAATTTGCGAACCATATGTAAGTGTGGGATTGTACTCCGCTTGCCACTACGCGCTTTCACCCTATATTTCAGGTATATATCGATCATGTTGCTTTTTATTAATTTGTTGTTTACTATTTTATTCACTTTTTTAGTAGTATTTTTTGCTCTTTATTCAATGTCTACAAGTGCTTACCAAACGTTCCTTACTCCTTCAATTCCTACAACCCTGGAACTTCCTCAGTTGCCTTCCTCAAGGTCCCAAATTGTTGTTGTTTGCTTCTTTGTTTATCTTCCACATATTATTCGTACTCATAATAAGCATACAGTTCAGTAAGTCAACTTATCAGAAAAGAATGAAAGTAAGCAAACGGACCTTATTAAGGGTGAGGTGCCTGACACCAGTTTGCCCTCTTCATAATGCCTTCCCTCATCCCTTCAAAGTCCCAGAGGAAAGCACTCTACAAACCACGAAATTCGCCATTGCGCTGGCCACCTTTATCACTTCTCTATGATCGGTTAATTACCAGGCTGTAAATATTCCTCTTGATAACGAATGGCTCATACGACCAACCGGAAGAATTTATGGTCCTTTACGATTTCTCTGGAACGCGCCTTGCATTGTAGATCTCCTACAAGTTGCACAGTGATTTGAGCGTGAGCAGGACCTTCACATTACAAAAGCTTAGTTGAACGGACCGCAAATAATAAGGATTTCTCAGGTGTGAAACTCTTTAATAATTTGTCAAATGTAAAAAACTGGACTCATACACAGGTCCATCGACCACACTCAGCTCTTGCCCAACACAAATTTTAAGAAAACTCTTTTTACAGAACTATAATAATAGTGTTCTACTTATTGGCAGTTTTTTTCATTCGTTCTGTCAGAATCTGCCGCAAATTGCATTTGCTCCATGCAAAATCACTGCCACTCAGGATAGCCAAGATGCATAGAAGTTATAGTCGTGTGATGGCCAGGAAGTGACGACGCAACACACTTCCTGGAAGCCGTCATCACGAAAATGAAAATTGTAAGGAAGGAGGAGTGGGAATTTAAATATATATAAGTGAATAAATAAATATATATGTATAGGGTTCGCTCATTGTTTCTAACTTCCATTTGCTCACATCTACGGGACGTGCATTACTAAAATCATCAAACAGCACCAGGCACAATAAGGCCAGTGGACCAATTTAGTGATAGATTATTAAGGATGAAAATTGCAAAAATCATAAGAAAAAGCTCTTTGAAGTTGGCAGTAATCGTNCCCGAAGTCTTATTTTATTATTTGTAATCGACTATGTAAATTGTACTGATCAGAACTATTGGAACTCATTAGGTGATCTCCATTCTTTAGCGCTGAACGCCTTTCCCGAGTCTTTTCTTCCCTTTAAATGGACGACGTTGAACAAAGCAGGTCCCAGTATTCAGAACGTCATGCGACCAAGTTGTTGCACTTGCGGAAGCGGCACGGAAATTTGCAATGGATTCAATCGCCGAGGCAGCTTCTGATTCTTTCGAGGAGCCGCGAGAAGTTTATTTGTAAGTAGATTAAAAAATGCTCAGGTTACATATAAGGCAAAGCTTTAATGCACGTAAGCCATAGGTTCAGTTAGCGCATGCTGTAGGGTATCGGCTACCGCTCGCTAGAAATTGCAAAGGAATTTTTGGTTGGGAGAAGACCTCGGAAGAATCACCAGAGGGGGCCCATAACTTTCCTCTAAATCGTTCTCGGTGCTCTTGGAGGACTTTTGCACTGAATCCATGGCAGCTTACGGATCCAGTGATCATACAGGTTCAAACTTCAAATTGTGACCCCTCCCGGAAACAAGTGCCCAAAAAGTGGAGCAGGGGGTTTTTCCTAGTTTCTGCAGCCCTGCACCGCTGCTGAGAGACCATTCAACACTACTGCTTTTGATTTCACATGAAAATGAACTAACATAGATTGTCGAAAGGACCATCATCAGAATGAGTTCGCCTTCGCATCGTAACACGCCCATTTCATGAAATCCCCTATTAAGACCGACTGTAAGCAGCGAAGATATCGAGGTTCAGCAAATTCTTGAAGGATTTTTCAGTAGTGCTGCAAATTTCAGTGGTACTTTACAATTGTTTTTCTCAGGGTGGTCTGATCAAGGTCAAAGGCGAAGCCGCCAAAGAAAAGCTGCTGTTCGGGCTATCAGCTGCTATTGATCGCACAACATATCGATCAAGTGCCAATCCTCTATTTCTCATCATTTCCACCTACTTTTTTCTGTCCTTAAAGTACCATTAACAGAGTAGTTATTGATTAGACCATAACAGATGCTCGACCCTGTTTTTGTCTTAGGCACCCAGTATAATAACCGGTTATGAAATGCTTCTGCCCCATGGGAGCGCTTCGTTTTATGTAATTGACCATCAGTTTTTCTTTTCAAAATTTCAATTCCTTTCATTTTGTAAATAGCATTAAATGTTGACTTCCTAACATCATTTTGATCGTAGGGGTACCAGATCGGGTCGATGCGCTAGCGTTAGATAGCGCTTCTACCACGATGGGACATGGAGATTGAGTTTTGGATGAGACATTTCCAGAGGAGCGAGCCTTCCTTGGGAGCAAGGGGCCGGGGCTAAGTTTCAGCCCGGCTATCGCAGTTTCCAAAATTTCCGAAGAAGTTTAACTTCAACCATATCCACAGGAAAGCTTTGAAACCATACCACCTCAAAGTTTTGTCTCTGGGTCGATACTCAAGTAACTCTCTTTCCCCTAAAGCGAAAAATAGTCCAGAGTGCATTTTCCCGTTCGACGTTGGTAGGACACGATCCCTACGAACTTATGGTAGGTACAAACGACATCATAGAAGCTTCATTAGCGATCTTAAGGTGAAAAAAAAACTTTCTGGAATTGACTGATTTCACGCGACCTTTTCATTTTACAGTCCGATCGGAAACTGTTGTATAACTTTTTAGAATTACCATTTCAAGTTTCACTTCCTCACCCCGACATTCTTTCGGCATTTTTTACAGCCATTTTAAGAGACTATTTTGCTTATTTACATGTATAACTGTTTTCAGGAGGTGCTATTCATCCTAGGTCGCATGTACGTACGTCACTTATTTCTTTTATCTCTTTGGGCCCAATTCATCAGTGGCGAACGAGGAAATCATATCGATATCGATGATGAACCACGTAATGAAACGCTATTCGATCTCGGTCAAGCTCTATGGGTGTTCGATTTCGCCGGTAAGACCGAAATCAATTCTCTATGTTCCTTTTTGAAAATGAAGTCATTCAGGTTTAACTTTTTATCACAACGTTCTTCATAGAAATGTTAATTCCATAGCTGAATAATTCCTACCTCGAATTTTTCCATTAAACTAGTTCCATCTTTTTTCCATAGCTTCCATTCCCCTTCCTCATTTAAACCTTCGGGTTGGATGCCTCATTGAAGCTAATACAAAATGACTTGACTGACTGTAAACAAAATTTGCATGGGCAAAAGAGCCATGAAAATTTCTAACAAGAACGATCTCAATTGTGAATCTTTGTCCCATTTTCTAAAACTGCTATCTGGGTGACATCCTGTGTAGAACTCAGTGGGATCTATCCACCCTGTACTTTCAAACGATTTCTCTTTTCACATACTCTTTTTTATGGGTGCGCTTCGTTGCGCGCGTCCGTCGAAACTAGGTCACGCCGAAGCCGTCGCATGCGCGCTTCAGCCCGCGATCTTTGACAAACGTCGCAGTTGACAGCGGGGCATACGAATTGCGCTTGGTACACAGCATCGAGTCAAAAGAGAAGATAACACAACAAAATGCAAATCACTCGCTCCACTAACCCTTGGTTGTACTGTAATGTCACCTCGAGACCTCAGTGGGGTGCGCGGGTATGTGTACGAACGTGCGTCCGAGGATGCGCGCGGCAAATTGCGCGGCGAAGTTCGTAATGATTTGTACGACTTCGGCGCCTATCATTGGAGCCCAAATTTGAAATAGAGTGGATTAGGAGGATCATCTGACCCTACTAAACTACACTACTTCGAGTTTGTGCCCCGAAAATTGGCGCCGCAGTCGTACAAATCGTCACGAACTTCGCCGCGCAAGTTGCCGCGCGCACCCTCGGACGCACGTTCGTACCGTCCCCCGGGGTGCGCCGCTGAAGTGGGCGAGGTGACCTGCTTTCGACGGACGCGCGCAACGGACGTTCTCCCTTTTTTACTCCTCGTTATACTTATGCATCTGTTAAGTTTCTTTTTCGTTCAGCCGCAGCCTACGCAGAGGATCCGAATCTATGCCTGAAGCCACGGAACGCATCGATGGTATATCGAATTGCGATACCATGTGATTACCTACGAGATGAGGTACTTTCGCCTTTTTTGCCTTTTCCTACAATGTAATGGTGAGTTCCTGAAAGAATGTTTCTCTTCCTGGAGATCATTGGTGTAGACAATTGATTTTCGACTTTCAGTGACTCTTGTCATAGTGTACCGATGTTTGAGATATAGTTGTGATGCCTTGGACAGCCCTGTGTAATCTCAAATCCACTACTGTCCATCAAGGTTCTGACAAAGTGGCAAGAATGAATGGATGAGGATGATAGCTCATTACGCTTGACGATTCATCCTTGCCACCTTCGTCAGAAACTTAGATGTAGTTCATGGTCTCACATCGACATCTCAGAAGGCCTAAGTTGTGGAGGTCATCCATTACACTATTCTCTTCCTCTAAATCGTTTACACGTTCGAGGTGTTGGAATTCCTTTGCAACAATTGGAATAACATATTTGTCATGATTCATTGCATATTTGGAGAAATGGCGGATGACTCGATTCCGTGACGTTATGGGAAGAAGGAATTTTAGTTGAATTAAGTAGGGAATGGAAGTAGAAACATGCAGAGGATGAATGCAAAGAGAAAATTGAGGGGGTTCTAGTCAAACAACATTAGAAGTTTCTTGAGGGAATCGTGAACCGGTAATAATCTACCCTTACTATACATGAACTCTGGCCTTTGGAATAGATGAAAGCCGTTCAATTTGACTGTTTTTAACCACTTATTACTACTTTTTGGTTTATTGTTTTTGGCTGAGCGTAAAACAAATGCACTTGCGAGTCGTCATCTTTCTCCGGAACTAAAAGCCATTACTACTGGTATTTATAGAAGTCACCTTTGAAGTAATTGATCCCTTCCAAGGAGTCTTTAGCTCTTTCAAGCTGCGTTTAGATGGTCTTATGGCCTCACAATGTTGGCACCCTTGAAGGTAGTGGTGCATCTAGATAGACGGTGCCAGAATCCTCTGTAGCTGCGGATATGTGAAAAAATGGGAAGGGCTAGAAAATGGTCAGGGTTTGATTGTCGAGAAATATTTGTTGAGAACAACCGAATCTAAAAACGTAATTCTGCTATCAGCTCTTTCCTAAGTTTAGATTTGGAGTTTTTTTAGATCACTAGAGTTGCCTGGGTACTTGAATTCTGTCGTTTTTCAGTGTTGGAGTTTTGTGGCAACTAGGGAAGACTGGATAATTGTGGCTTTCCGAGGGACCCGAACGAAAATACAGCTCATAACAGAACTCATCGAAACTATGAGTGAGCCAAAGAAAAAGGTGAAGTCCAGTGATACTTTTTTCATTGTATTCTGTATTTGTAGTAGAATAACTGCGATTCAAATCACTCCAAAGCTTCAGAGTCCCACATCAAAGCATAAACCTCACTACTCTTTTCTAGACAGATCTTCTGCTAGTGATCAAATAGCAGTAGTTCGAAGTTAGCCTAGCACTTCGACCTCAAATACGGTTTCTTCTTTACCATGCTCCACATTTTCAGAAATTCTTGTGAAACTGATATCTTCGAGACCTCAAATCTTTGATTACTGTCAGGTCCATCCTTAGTCGAACCACAGATTTGTATGTGCTGTCATAGGGTTGAAATTTGAAACTTCTGCCTTTCGACTTACTTAGTCTTGCTGAAAGCTAGAGCTCTGAGAATCAGGATAAAGACTACTACAGCTGTAGGTAACCGTAGAATCCCTTAGANATCTTTGATTACTGTCAGGTCCATCCTTAGTCGAACCACAGATTTGTATGTGCAGCCATAGGGCTGAAGTTTGAAACTTCTGCCTTTCCACTTTCTTAGTCTTGCTGAAAGCTAGAGCTCTAAGAATCAGGATAAAGACTACTACAGCTGTAGGTAACCGTAGAATCCCTTAGATGAGAAAACCTTCCATACCCCTTTCTCGATTTCTTCTCAAAATCCCACTGTGCTCTGCGTAAAATCTCCGTCACTTCTGACCTTTTAAAGCAGTGTCCTACTTGCCTGAGGCATTCCAATAGTTTCCTATGAATCACTGTGGATCAACCTGGCACAATTTTAGCTTCGTTCTGGTGGATCAGTACAACATTATTTTTATGTGGCACTGAAATCGATCTGGAAAGAGCTTCACGCGGTGATTAGAAAGTTAAGAAAAGTAAGTTGGTCACATTCTGATTAGGTCAATCTACGTTGAACAAAACTACAGTATCACTTCAAGCTTTCTAAAGTTTTTCTTAAACTAGTCTTTTCAAAATTCGTTTATAGACTCAGTTCCGATCTACGAAGTAGTGAAACTTTCTCGTCTAGACATATCCAGACTACCGTATTTTGTTTACTGGACACTCGTTAGGAGGTGCATTAGCCAGTCTCGCATCCACTTTGTACGCTCATCGGCATCCATCACTTTCAGATAGGTGAGCAGCTTTCTGTAAATTCTAATGCCTACCAGGAGCTGTTCATGTTTTCTGTTCAGGATCCATCTGATGACTTTTGGGCAGCCACGAGTTGGAAACTATGAATACGCTGTGACTCACAGTGAACTTGTTCCAAACAGTTGGCGAATCGTTCACAAATACGATTTGGTATGTGCAGCGTGTTTACTGTTTACTTTACTTGCGAACAGTTACAGTACAGCAGTACACAAACCTCTTACGGCTGTCGGTGAGAGTTACCTCATCCAGGGCTCCCCGCAAACAGCTTGATAAGACAATGGGGATTTCGGAAGCTGCTCCCGCAAAGCTAGCCAGGCAAAATAAAATTTTTGTGAAAAAACTTTTTCCCAATTAAAAATAGAAAACAATTTTCATCTCTATCGCTTTCAAGCTCTCCAAAATATTTGAGCTATCAAGGGTTCATGTGCACTGGGTACCCGCCATCAGAGCCTGTTCACGGGGATAAGATCAAAGCACCTCTTGGCCAAAGGCGCTCAACATCTGTCCGGTCTTGTTTACATGGCAGCTGATGTGTCTGCACGTAAATGGTACGCGAACAAATACTGTGAATGATACCAAATACTGAATGCAAAATATTGAAAGGATAAAATTTCCGGGCCCTAATCAATCCCGTATGAGGGATGCGTCCCGCATTCAAATTCCACTCAGATTCGTAGGAGCGTTTGGAAGCGTATGTGGCCTGTACAGTGAAATTCGGTAGCCAACCGATGCACAATTCAGTGCTTTTATACTTCCAGGCGAGCCTGGCACCAATAATCCGTGGCCTGGATGGGTGAAGGCTTAGCTGGCCCAGGGGGGTATCGATCGGGATTCGAACCCGTAGCCATGCGTGTGTGATAGTGCTGGGCTGCACAGCTTCCGCTTCGCTACACCACCACCTATAATGCAAAATACTGTATGAAAGGTTGTCAACGAATAGCATTTCATCAAAAATTTCAAACATGAGTAGGGAGTGTGGCTTATCCTAAACGAATCATCCAACACTTTTCATTTTTGTTCGAATTCTTTTCATTTCCAATACTACTATCCCCATCCTGTCTGAATTCAGGTGGCTCATCTACCAGCGTGTGCGATCCGACTCATCTCACATTCCTGTGTTTCATTGTTGAATCATTCACCGTACCATCATGGTACGGAAGTTTGGTTCCCATCGAACATGACGCGGAACGCTCTTTACCGAGTGTGTAACGGATTGCCATTGTATGAGGATGACACGTGCAGGTAGGCAATGTCCGATTTTCTCCAAATGGAACAAGTATCTAACTATTTGTTCGATAGAGTTAGTCCCAGAACCCATTCCTAAAAATAACAATGTTGAGGCACCTCCGTGTTGAGGCCCCTATTCAAAGCAGTATTAAAGAGAACGTAAGACCTGAAGTTCTGATGTGCAATGAGGGCAAGGTAGCTCTGTCCATTAGGTCCTTATGAAGAGCTTCCTGCCAAACACATCGAAAAAGTACCGTTACTAAATGAGAGGGTCACGACTGTAGAGACAGGAGTTTAGACATTTTCGGGCGACTTAGTTCTACAAGCGAAAGAGTCAGCATAGTTATAGCCTGGTTTGGATAATCTACACACTATTACTTTTAGTCGGTGAATTACGAAGTGGTTCATACTAAACCGAACGATCAGATCACAGCAAACGTATTAAACTGCTTTCCATTTGAGTTGAGACATGACCACCAGGGGTTTCCTAGCTAATCAAATCCAGCTTGCTAGATAGCCATTCCGCGAAAGGGCGAGAAGCGGGGAACAGAGGAGGTAAGCAAACCAGCCCGTTTAGCCCTTCTGCTGGATACATTTGCTTATTCTGCGATTCTGTTTAAGGGTCTCATAATCCCACTCAGGGAAAGTACGTGGGGAGTCGCTTCTAAATTCCAGGTGGGAGTTTTTTATATGGTGTACATAGGGCCGCCGTGCAACTGTGACAGTATGGTGTGTTTTAACAGTTGATTCATATATTCGCCCAATGTCTTCCACATATAAACAGGGAAGTGTCTTCCACCTGGGATTTAGAAGCTACTCCTCACGTAGTTCGCTTATTGCCAGCGAGCCTAGCCTGTTAAAATTTTTGAGGGAAAGTAATTACCATGGTAAATCCTGTTGGGGAAGAACTGTTACTTTCCAGCAACGGCTACTATCTTCATTACGGTATCAAGGACCATATGTACTATTTTGAACACGAAGTGAGCATTTACGGAAGGAATGGATGTGTGGATGAACCGATGGAGAGGCGGTGACAGTCAACACTGCATGGACTTCGGCCATTCATTTTTAGGCCGAGCTTTATGAACGATAAACTGTTTTTACGGGATTTTCTTTTGAACAACTGTGTTCGTCTCCACTTGCTGGCCAACTTTCTCAGGATTTTCCATAGAGACGAACTCGACCAAGTTCCAATCTTTATAAATAGATAGAGGTGAACGTATGTATAGTCGGGCGGTTCGAACTTCTAGTCCCTCCGGGACATAGCCGCAGACCCGGGAAAGTCAAGCAAATCGAAACTTGTATGAACAAACACTGACACCGAATTGAATAGTTTATGTATTTATATATCTCTAATCTTACAATTTTGATAAATAAGCCTTCTTGTGGAGACGAATTCACGTGCAGATTGGATGTTGCGTGACTAGATGTTGCTTCAAATGATCAGACCTAGCGAAGCCTCGCCCACATCTCGGACAGTGATGTCGTCGTTCACCAGTGTGTGCTCGCAGATGGCGCTGAAATCAGTGCTGCTTTATCGATTGATGTAGGCCTTCTTACTTTTTAGGGGAGATTAACAGCCACGTTTCATTTGATGGGGGAGGGGCCACATACAGTAACGGCTAAAACCCTTCCAGTAATCAGAGCAAGAACATTCTTAAACGAGTAGAATACTGCGGGATCAAGCTCGACATGGGCAGAGCTAGCTTCCCTTATCCCTTCTGATAGATGCTCATCTCTAGGTCTGATATTGGGTACCCAATTTGTCCAGTAAAAAAGTGCATAATCCGTCACCAAGCTTCCCCTAACTCATTGCTCAACAGAGTTCCCGATCTCAATTGAAAAGCTAATTTAAATGGCAAAACCCAGATGGTACGATGAGCTTTGATCACTCAGTCTTCAAATCTTTCTAGCCTGACCTGTAACTGATCCGATCGTGAAAATGTCTTTCCACATTGAAACCATTGGCATTGGAACGGCCGTGATCCGATGTGCGACCTAAATATCGAAAACGGGTATGAAATCCAAAAACGCCCGGCAAATCCAATTGCTTACCTCAGATGAGCTTTAAGATGGCTGGTTTTCTTATAAGTTTTACCACAGTTCGGTACGTTGCATACATGAACAGGGTTTTCGCAGTGCAATCCACTGGTTCTACTGCAAAACAAGCTTTTAAGGAATCATTTTAGATATTACAAGTTCTTTAACTAATGTCCAACAACTTTGTAACTATTAGGATGATGCATAGTTATTGCGGATTTTTTCGCGGCTTCTTTTCTCCCTATAAAATAAACTTTTGAATTCGGGATTTTTGTAGAGAAAATCTTCTCGTCTCCTTAACAGAAATATGTCTAGAACGTCACCTTCATATACGCCACATTATGCTCTATTACTTCGAGAAATGTTGGAAGGCGGCTCACTCATAACCTGATCTCAACGAACTTCTCGGCGATGGGACAGTCAACCAAAGTCGGACAAGAAATGGAATCTGCTTCTGCGGTCGCCAGATTCACCAACAGAAACTCGTGTGGATTTTCACGTCAATCGCCCTCGGAAAAATTGGTTAACGAACACAACTTTTAAAGAAGTGAATGGCTTGAGGCCAACGTCAAGGCGTGATCGCCTCCAAGAATCGAAACTTCTTCGCGTGTGGAGTCCGCCCGCCTAGCAAATGGGAAGCAGTGCTTGACGTGGATGGTGGATATGTTCCTGAGCAGTTATTTGAACATGTCTTTGCTAGATATTTCAATCGTTTCTTCAAGTAAAATTTGCTGAAAAAACTCGCAATAATTATGCATCAACCTAATATGAAGTCTCTTAAGGTTCCGTGAGCTTCTCGGTTCGGAACACTTATATTCTGTAAGCCTTACCATATGATTATCACTCAAGGGGCTGCTACTTATTCCTTGTTTCTTTGACGAGAAGTTTGGGATAAACATTCGAATATTTAACAAGGAAATCAAAATCTATCAGAGATATTTTAGCAAGCTGCAAATCAGCCTTCGATCGATGTAAAGCAATTGCTACCGAAAGTTTATTCCAAATTTCATCATACTATAATGAAAGAAGAAACGTTTTACTGTCGTAAAAGCAAAATGTCTCAAAACAGTATAAGCTGCGAAGTTAACTGATTGGTAAGTTCCAGGTATGTAGGCAAAAATACACTCGCTTTTGACTGGTCAAGGCAAAAGGCATCGGGGATGCAAAAGAAGAACTCTTGCATCACTGTCTAGCTGTCGAGCCTTTATAAAAACGTTTACTAGGAGCTCATCCTCACCCGTCTAGTCAGGCATGTGGTAAATATCGAATGAGACCTTTTTCGCCCGTTTCCAAATCGGCAAGATTGTAAGGAAGCAGGAAATGAGGATGTAGAAGCCAAATGGAAGGAAGGGAAGTGTAAAGAAGGGAAATTTGAGAGGAATCGTCGAGAAGTAGGGCGGAGTAGGATTTTTTTCAAG